GATTATCATCTAACCAATTTTTATCGTTATTTTTTTTTTTATCATCACCCAATTATTTTCGCCAAGGCATCATCGCGCAATGGACCGCAAAAACCATCTTAACGTACATACATCTATAACTACGTACTAATATGTTGTCTATACCTTCGACCGGCAACAGTTTCGGTACGCGGAAGACGTTCCTAAAATCTCATGCCTCGGCCATTATCGAGGATAATGGAACGTAATTTGCGGTCGGGGATCGTGCATCGATCTTACCTCAGGAGGAAATACGAGAGCCGGGCAAACGATTTGGGTTACGTGCAACAGTCGATTGTGCTCTGTATACTTATTTGCTATACGTATCGGACGCCATCGTGGATGAAATTTTATAGACGCCCTGTATTACCGACATGCGTAGACGTCGTGGGATGCGCGTAGCGTACATTTACATTGAATTTGGTACCGTTCCTTTTTTTTTCAGTTTAAAGCTGGCTCAGACGTAAAACCTGTCATTTTTTTGTAATTCTCGTTCGTTCAATTGGGTCTCTATGATCGCGTGTATATATATATATATATATATATATATATTTCGGTTCATTTGACCGCGCGAAATAAATCGCAATTCCGGCTGATCGCGCATCCTGCGCCCTCCCGGTACAGACCAAAGCCCGAGCGCCGATATTCATTTTTATAGTCAGCTAAACCAACCGTCAGTTCCTCTCGGGAGAGATCGGCCGATATGCAAATCCTTGCTAAATCCTCATGTAACTTTGCCGAACGATCGGAGCTCACCTTTTGGCTCTGTGTATTCGCCAATGAGCAAGCTTCACCGATCGGTTCTTACAAATGCGTGTATGTATATATACGTTATTCCATAGGCTCGATCGAACTTAATCTTATTACCAGAAGGATAAATGTCCATTGATTGGGTGTGTTACGCGAATTTTACAGTAATTCCTTTTTTTTTTTTTTTTTTGACAATTTCAAAATCTGTAAGATTCCACCAGCGCATACTGACGTCCTCCATTTTGTCGTACTGGCAATTGCCATTTGTAGGTTAGGTTAGGCTAATTGCCATTCTGGTCGAAGAAATCCAAATCTACGTCGATCGTGTGACGATCTGCAGTCGTATAGAGAAATACGTGCCGACTGTATGTCCTGACCTCTGACCCCGACATCCGCAATCGTTCCTTTACACGTATCAAGGGTAGACAAAAAATGATTTGACGTACTCGATTAGCGAATAGGCAAATGCATCATGCGAGGCTATACACGGTGCGTTAGATGTATGTATACGCAAATACCCGAGGCTGTTACAGGTGCGCGCAAAAGCACGCGGAGGGACTGCACGGAGTCACGTTCGAGGGAGCATCATTTATTGCATCGCTGCTTGTCAGGCAATTACGTGAATCATTGGCGATAGATGGCTGATAGATAGAGCAACGTTACCAGACTGGCACAATTAGATGAAAATTATAACGAGAGAATATGTCCGAGCGAAAATCACATCGGGTTGTCGATATTGAATTATTTATCATTTGAGTTAAAAAATATAATCGTCGGGCGTATATACTTTTGTGTTTAATGATTTTACGAGGAAGTAAAAAAAAAAAAAAATAATCGTATCACCGTGTATATGTATATGCGTGCGCGAAATTCTCGTCGTGTTCCCTCGTAATGGCCGCCATGTGTGGAACCTACTTTGGGCTCTTGTAATTATACGGGGAATGTCGAAAAAGAGTGCGAGAACGAAAAGAGTGGAAGGCGGTGGCAAAAGGAAAGGTATATAGGCTGAGAGGGAACAAATGTATGAAGTCATCCAGTCCCGACTCTTACTGGACTACATACCGCAAGAGAGGTTGTTCAACCTGGTTTGCTCGACTCGAACGATGCGAAGCTGCGAATTGCCCTGCGCTCGGGAACTTTTAGCAGTGGGACCTGCAGGCCCCAGTGGTTATCCCTGGACAATTTAGTATTTACCGTAAAGGAAGGGCCGGTGTATATAGTTGGGTATTATGTGTATCACTGTGCAATAACGTGTGGGTATGTACTAACCTGCCGTGGCGTTTGTCCTGAACGTTGCTGCAAGCAGGAAGGAGCGGGCGCATCGGAGCTTTAAAGAAAATGAGATACTTTTCGTTTCAGGGGAGGCCATTCACCTTGCAAGAGACTTTGGCTACGTCTGCGAGACGGAATTCCCGGCGAAGCAGGTCGCCGAATATCTCAGTCGGCAGCACTGCGAGCCACAGGACACCTACAGGCGAAAAGAACTCCTTCATGCCACCAAGTGAGTAGCTAACCTCCGATTGTTGGATTATAAGATTGTTAGTGACGCGGTGATAAGGCGATGCGCACTGTTGGGTTGATCGTGAGGTATCAGTCGAATGACTCGTTGTTTCTTCTCGCAGACAAATCACCAAAGAGTTGATGGATCTTTTGAACCAAGACAGATCGCCATTGTGCAACACACGACCGCATCACATCCTCGATCCAAACATACAGAGACATCTGACGCATTTTTCTCTAATATCCCACGGTTTCGGGAGTCCTGCGATCGTCGCCGCTCTGACGGCAATACAGGTAACTAGAGTTTTTTATTATCCTACGAGCATTACTCTTCCATATCGACTCGGGTTACGTGGAGTTTCGTCTTAAAGTTCTGAAGCTTTGTAATCGCTTATTGGTTTTTTTTTTTTTTCGTTTAATTTTACAGAAGTTCCTAAGCGAATCCCTGAATCATCTGGAGAAGATTTATCCCGGGAACGGAAGTGGCGTGACCAGCAGTCAACAATCAAATCTTGACACGAACAAGAACAAGGATGGATCCTTAATGAGCGACATGAAAAAGTGACGCCCAGAGGACCCGCCCACCTCTAACGTGGTCACGTCTATCAGACACTCCTGGCCTTGCAATTGACTTTTCGTCGTAGAATTTCACTACGAAAAGTATTCATGCCGGACCACTATGTTTACGTATTTCTGTTGCTAAGAGGTTGGCTGGTCGGATGTTGGATAATACTTATTGAGGAAGAAAAAAACTATAATGGTGTCATCGTACCCGTGTTCTGCGGAATCCGTCTTTGTTCGCTGCACTTCGAGCAAGAGAAGGTACAAGAAGAAAAAGAAGAAGAAGAAGAAGAACAAGTGACGAGAGACATTTATAAACACGGTGTTGTCCCCCCTGCGTCCTTTACCTATCTGATCGTGCTCACAAGAATGATCGATCAATAATTAATCGTCTCAATTGAAAATCCTATCGATTCCTTGAGAATTATTAAACGTACTAGTGGCGCCCCTCGCGCTCTTGCGGAATTTACAAAACCGCGATTTAACGAATCCGACGATTCCGTAGTTATACATACCAATAGTTATGTATACATTATTGGGGCACGTTTGTCACGATTCGCACATCGCGTGCCGATGCTCACAATAATCGGTACGAGTATATTGATCGCAATAACACATAATCCGCTCGGCTGGAATCGTTCAAACTGCGCGTACATATCCTCCGCCCCTTCCATAATTGTACAAAATGCGTTCCTCAACGTTCTCCGTTACTTTTCCTCTTTTCTATCTTTTTGTTTTATTATTTTATTATTATTATTTTAGTACTTTTTTACTTGTGGGCTGGGTAGTGGTGCCACTGTGGGAGGGTGGGGTTGGGACGGGGTCTGTATATGTGGGGCGGGTCTGGGGTGGGTTTGTCAAAAATATTTCGAGAAGTGAGCCTAACAAATCTGACAGGAACCACACGCACGTGTACTACAGATATGTGTGCATGCTGCGTCGAGTCGCTGTCAGATTTTGTGTCAAGGCGCATTTTTATAAACACGGTAGACGTAAAATGTCAGGGAGAATGTCTAAAACGAGCACGAATTAAAGCCGTCCGAGGCTAAACTATTTATAAATATTGTCGTATGTCGTAATAACGCTGAGTTAACCAATTTTTTCTGGAGATTCTAATGAAATAGAAAACGATGGTGGTGGGACTTGTTGTTTGTTTGTTTGTTTTTGTTATTTTCTCTCTCTTTCTCTCTCTCTCTCTCTCTCCTCTCGCTCTCTCGCTCTCTCGCGTTGAATCAGTGTTCATTAACTTTTTCATTGTCTATCACACTCGCACGCATCCCTGCTGTGACTTTTATTACTTTTATACTCTCTCTCTCTCTCTCTCTCTCTCTCTCTCTCTCTCTCTCTCTCTCTCTCTCTCTTTCACTCACTCACTCACTCACTCACTCACTCTTTACTCGGATCTCTTTATACCTTCCGTTCTTGAGGAATTGCACCCTCGCGACTTGCGCTAACAAATCCATTCGTGTGGATATTTAACCAAGGCGCAGGCAGGCAAAATAGAAGACATTAAAATAAATAGAGAAACAATGAAAATTAAGACAGATCTTCCAATGATCGTGCCAATACGAATAAAATATATAATTAAAAAACAAAATGAAAACTTGCCATTCATGATGTGCCAATTTACCCTTGTGTCGTGCTGCAGTTATGCGAGTAGTAAAAAAAAAATAACGTATAACTGTTGTAGGGCTGCGAAAATCTTGCGAATGTAAAAAAAATGCAATATATTAACGAAAAGAGATGGGGATCGTGGATTAAGGATTAGAAGATCTATGTAACATGTATTGTCCTTGTAACGATGATAAATGAAGAAATGAGGAATGATACCGAGTATCTTGGAATGCGCATCACATGCTAATCGAACGTTAATGCGCATTAAAAATCGTAAGAAGTACAATATCAGGTGATCCTGAGACATATCTAACTTTGTAACTAAACTTTAGACGGTAAACGTATAAGTTAAAATACTTGAGAGCATTTGATGTTCCGAGAATCTGTACAGAGCATTTGAATCTTTCTTGTGATATAATCATACATTATTAAGGTATCAATTAAATAATAAAATGCTACATTCCATGTTTTTATTAGGGATGGATATTAGAGGCAGGGCCGTATTCCTCGAGGAACTTGAGATTATCTTATCGCGGAAGTTAAACGCTCTTTCTTTAAACTCGAGAAGAAGGACGCGTGCTTGTCAATTGATTGATTTTTTTTTCATCGTTGAAACTGAATTGACAAAAAAAAGAACGGAGGCAAACAACGTGGGAATTGCGTTCGGGGATTTGCCGAAGGCTATGAAATGGGAGGAGAGAATGATAAAGAAAAAAAAAAGAAAGAGAAATAGAGAAAGAGGAATTGGGGAATAAGGAGGAAACTATTCAAGATGACGGACGGAATTTGCGTTCTTCCAGCATCGGGCAAAGAGACAGAGTGCATAGCGTTAGTTAGCTCAAACTTTAATCTTATTTTCACTCACGACTACTTAGAGAACTTCCTTAAAATAAGAATCCCTAAATTAATACTTATTTATAACCGTTAGACGCGCGTAGAAAGGTCTTTTCTACCAGAATTTCTGTGCCAACCGTGAAGAATGTTGTAGACGATTTTGTTTCAAGTTGAAGCATCATTCTAATCTTGTAACATACTCAGATTTATCTTTATTAAATATATTTGAATTTAGTAGTATATTATATTCTGATATTAATACGTTTCATTTTTGTATATTGGTGTGTGATAAATAAATAAGAGTATCGTTTCTAAGTAATCTATATCACGGGAAAAATTTCGTCTTGATACCCTCATCATCCCTATAATTCATTAATTCTTGTTGTTCATTATAAATTATAAGTGGAATAAAATATGACCAAAAGTGAACAAGGAGTTAATCAATTTGTTCCTTTACGATTCCTACTCGATACAAGTTTTATTAGGAAATTTAAGATATATTATAATGAGAAATAATAGTTCACGAAGGCAGAAAAATGAAAATACAGCGCTCTGAGGTACGATTTTGGTCACTTTTCAAAACCACTACCATTTTGCAGTGCGTTTCACAAAATGTATGAGTCTGAAATAACACTATCGTCATTTAAATAATATCACTGTCTCCAATAACAAGAAACACAATTCTTTTATACTCGTCTCGTGAGGTGCTGGAGATCGCGATGGTCCCTGGAGCTATCTCAAGGTCTTATTAGCAATGTAATTCGTAGTGAACTATTAAGGGTTTACATAAGGGATATAAGGACTACTGCCCGTTTTGTTACCTTTTGTTACCTTTTCTCAAAACTGTTTTTAACAAATTAAACTAGATTTAAACCACGTTAGTTGAAACCGGCTCTTTTCTCGCACCTCCAGAATAATCTGGTTGTCCTACATAGGTTTTACGCATCTTCCTCTCTCCATGTTCCCTCAGTCCTTACCATCTTTCTTCTTCGCTATTTCTTTTTAACAATCTTCCAAAAAAATAATGTGCATTAGTTCGAATTTTCGCCGTTAAGGTGGCAGCACCTCCTGGGCAAGCTGTTAAATACCTCGGTTTCTCTATCGACAAGGACGGCACACGTCCACCAGAAGAGCGCGTCACAGCCATACAAAACTATCCCAAGCCAGCCACACTGGATGAGCTACGCAGATTCTTGGGAGTAGCAAACTTCTATAGACGCTTCATCAAGAACGCTGCGGAAACACAAGCGCCACTCAACACTTATCTCATCGGCGTGAAGAAAAAGGACAAGCGACCGATAGAATGGACTCAAGACACTGAAAGAGCATTTGAGATGTGCAAGGAACAAATAGCGCAAGCCTCACTTCTAGCACACCCAGCAGAAAACGCTACACTGGCTCTGTACACAGATGCCTCAGATACAGCAATGGGCGCAGTCCTACAGCAGCTGGTCAACAACAACTGGGAACCTCTCGGTTTTTTCTCAAAGAAATTTTCTAAGGCACAGCGCAACTATAGCACATACGACCGTGAATTACAGGCGATCTACTCAGGTCTCAAGTTTTTCCGTCACATGGTCGAAGGCAGAAAATTGATGATCAAGACAGATCACAAACCTATCACATTTGCCTTTCAACAGAAGTCGGACAAAGCCTCACCAAGACAACTTCGTCAATTGGATTTCATAGGTCAACTCACCACGCAAATTGTCCATGTAACCGGTTCTGATAACAGCGTAGCTGACGCTCTATCCAGAGTCAACGTCATCAACATGCCAGTCATCATCAGTACAGAAAGACAAAAACCAGCATTCCTGGAAAACATACCGGCAAACAAAGACACGCCAAGGAACGACCTACAACAAACAGCAACAGCAGAAAGGATGCGGGAGCAGCCTGAAAAGAAGACTCCAGATGTTACTTTTCCAGCAACCGCACCACAACCAACGAAGCGCCCGGAAAACCCAAGGGCTTACAAAGCCAAAAAGGTACATTTCGCGGATGCAAGCACACCGCTAGGAAGGGGGTACTGTAGAGAGCGAACAGCAGACGGTACCTACCAACCGAACTATGGCAAGCATTGCCATACTTACCGGCCGTCGCTGGCAGGAAGCCGACGGCAGCGCTACGGCTAGCGTAGAGAGTAGTCTTCCTGAGCGTTCCATGGCGTCCACAGCAATTAGTATACTCTGTACCTGAAACAAAGGAAATAAAAGCTTACGTGTGTGAAACTTACCTGAGTGTAATATATTCCTCGAGAGTAGATAGAAAATATAAACGACCTGTGTACGCGTCCGCTACACAAGATAAGTAGCGCCATCTCTGAGAAAATGAGTGAACTTTCTCGATAAAATAATTCTGAATGCCATTTGAAAATCACTTAGACGAAATTTCAATGGGTAAATTCTTATTTAAAAATTCGCATCAATTCGATAAGGGCACCTCCTGGGCATGACAAGTTTAGCTCGGCTACGACGGGATTCGCATTGTCGACGGAGGCAATAATCACAAAATTCTACTTCCAGACTCACCACTACAATTTAGCGAAATGATTTCGGTATCGCCCAAAGTCGTAGCGTTGTGCATCTCCCTACTCATCTCTAGTACGAAAGAATTACACTTCTCCGACCCCTGGCAGATAAACAGTGAAGTCTCTTGTTGTGCAATAATCTCTGTCAGTACGGCAAAAGACGATAATTCAATTTCACTCTGCTAGTCAAATTTTGTGATCGTGAAGGCTAAAATTAATCGAATCGAAAAATTCGTCGTAGTACTCGGTATAATGTTACCGTTTATAGTATATGCGTCGTAGTTAAACTCGACGTAAGTAAATCCAATTTCTAGAAGCTACGTCATAGCCGGCATTAAACAGTCAAATCACTTACGTGTTGTTTCGAACATCCGTTTGTCGCGAAATAATGAAAATCATCTGCTAGTACTTGCGCAATTGAGGATACTGAATTTTAGGGCAGTGAACCAAATTTTTGCAAGTGCGTGTCGACACAATAATTTATATTGTCGATTATAAAAAATTCAACTGTGGTGGCGTTAAAGTAAGTAAATGCAGATGCTTTAAATTGGCCTACGTGTATTGACGTCAGGGTTCAGTAGCTACATACTTCAAAAGTAGTCATTTGGCTGTCACAGTACCTAAAAGTTGTTGCTACATGACAAGTGGCCTTGAAAAGTGACAGTTTATCATACTAAATGTTATTAAACGTATTAGCGATTATGAAATGATACGAGTGATTGATATTTTGATCTTTGCATAACTCATGTTATTGGCTTGATTCAAGTGTCTTCTACGAATGTAATAGCTGATGTTTTCAGTATTACCTTCTGATTAAGTTCAGTTACAAATAAGTTATACTGCAGGAAACGATTGAGACTGTTCAAAGGTCAAAATGTACATGTATATGAAGTTTTAAGTTTTAATTATCTTTTCTGATGAATACAAAACTATAACTTTAGAATGTGTTTTAATGCATAGAAATTATAATTTAAGAATTATTTGTTATATGCATTATTCTTTAATATCTAGGCAAAAAGACTAACAGAATGAGTACAGCAGAAGAGCAACCTGGACCCTCTAAACCTTCTGGGTCGGCAACAGATGAAAAGGAAAGAGATGATCGGACGTTTGAATGCAACATTTGTCTTGACACAGCCAAAGATGCAGTTGTTAGTATGTGCGGCCACTTGTTTTGGTAAGTTCATGTAAAAATATCCATTAACATTCATTATAATACATGCACATTATATTTTATAGCTGGCCATGTCTTCACAAATGGTTAGAAACAAGACCCACTCGACAAGTTTGTCCAGTTTGCAAAGCTGCTATCAGTAAAGATAAAGTTATTCCCTTATATGGACGTGGTGCGACAAAACAGGAAGACCCTAGGTAAGGTTTTGTTAAATAACATTATTTACTAAAATATTTGAAGAGTATTTTTCTTAGATAGCTGTACTACAAATAAATGTTATATTAAACAAATTCAATAATTTTCCAAATATGAAGACTATGAATAATATATTAACAAATTTTTATTTTAATCATTATTGCTCTGTTTATAGAAACAATGTACCTCCTCGACCTGCTGGACAAAGAACAGAACCAGAAACTAGTACTGGGTTTCCTGGATTTGGTTTTGGCGATGGTGGATTTCATATGTCCTTTGGTATCGGAGCGTTTCCCTTTGGATTTTTTACTTCAACTTTTAATTTTGGAGAAACGCGGCCAAGCCCAGGTAAGATTATTAATAAGTAATATGAATCAGTTGGTCTAGTTATACACAATAACAAAAAACATGTTTATTTAATTACAGCTCCACGTGGAACTCCCCAATTCGAGGAGGAACAGTTCCTCTCAAAGGTATTCCTTTGGGTGGCATTATTGTTTATCTGCTGGCTCGTACTGGCATAACATTACTCCTAAATCAAGTTTCTACAGTCTTGTAAAACCCATCCAAAATGATCCAAAATGATCCTGGTGTCTTGTAACAATACACTGACATTTCTCCTTTCGTCTAATGAATAATCCTTGTTAATTAATGCTTGAAGCCTGCTTGGATAATTGGTAGCGATTTAAAAATCTAAGAAAATCTCCTTTCAGTCATACAGTTGCCCTCAAAAATGATTAATAACTCATTGATTACTCACATATTAAATCACCAAAAAATTGATACCTAACTTTCCAATATTGTTTGTTCCCTTTTATTAAAAAAATTTGTTAAATTTTTTCCACAATCCAAGCAGGGATTCACGGAGACAGACGTAATAGATGTTTTAGCAGTTCGTCGGTATTTTTCAAATTTCAGAACAATTTCTATTATGTGTATATATGAAGTATATATACATTTGCAGTGTCTATGGAAGCTATTCTATAGTTATGGGGGAAACGTGTACACATATATGTATGAGGGTTTGAATTTAAAAATATTACTTTACATTTTCACAAAATATGAAGAAGAAAGTCTATTGGGTTGTAATCGGACGTCTGATAAATTATAAAGGCTTGAAAAGTGTATATAATTTAGATATTAAGCTAGGTTTATGTTTCAAATATAAATGAATTTTATCGACTTAAGCATAAATGTGTATATGTAGTCTACATTATATAACAATAATACTGTAACATAGTATGGTAATTAAGTATACAATACTACAATTGTGAACAACAGTTGTGAAATTTGTGTAGCGCGTAATTTTATTTAACTTGCAAAAATGAACGTTTATTTGTACAATGGATAGACAATAGTGAAAGAATATAAACGAACGTCATTCGTCGCCATTAAATTATATTTTCAATCAAAATTAATCCTTTAGCTTCTCAAGTATTGAAATTATATAAACCAAAAACATAACGTTGACTTCAGTTATTGGAGCTGAAAGGATTAACAACTTTATCATTAATAGCACAGTTTTAATGCAATTTACAAAAAGCAAAATTTGTATACTGTTTAATCACCATAAGAAAATATTACATTCATGAAAGATTTCTTCTGGAACTGATATAGATAAATTTTTCACTATCAGAATAAATTGAGACGAATATTATTACTTTTAAAATTCCAAAAGATATTTTTCTGTTTTTACTAAGTGGCACTATAGACGGAGAACGAAATAGAGATTGGATATTATAAAACGTAATTATTTAATTCTCTTTATTAACAATTTAAGGGATGACTCTTGCGTACTTTAAAATCGCATACCCCAATTATCTTTACATTCCACATTACATTTTGCTGCAAATTGGCATGTCATCTAAATACGCAATGCAGTATTGCAATTTGAATAATGACAAAAAAATACGCCGGGCGTATTTGGCACGCAGCCAATAAAGACTGTTTATAATTGCAAAACTGCATGGAGTATTTTCAAGGTTGAATATTGTAATAGTGACGATTAAAACAAATAATAAATTTCATTTACTATATCCTTATTTTTTTAATGCAATGTTATTTAATCTCTAATTCAAGTATTTTTAAATACCATTGTGATAAGGTATTTGGTTTGACTCACAATGACGCCTTCTGACGAATTTGTCTGAGATTAGTGCAAAACGCTTTTTGCAAAAATCTAGTTTTTCGTGTAAAAATTACTCCATGTACCTCTACATAAGTTTTCCAGAATGAAATCAGGCTTGTAACAGAATCATTCTGCGAAATTGTTTTGAAACTAATAGAAAATGCTTCCGCGGGCAAAACTATTACTACTGACGTCATTATTTTCTGCATGGGTAATATAAAAAAAACAATTGTCACCATTTATATGGGATCTACTTACACTATGAGTCATAAATTCTGACAAATCTCAATAGGTAAGGTAAGATTAGATTGTTTATTAACGGACAGTACATAAGGCCAGCAAGTTTCGCAAGAGACATACAAAACATGCTAATTCGTTCGACATATGTTAATTATTACATTCAATATGATTGGACATGTCTCAAAAATCATTGTATACAAAGATCGATAGAAGTACAGTAGTCGCTATTCTATTTCCACATATGTATATTGAATAACTTTTAACAATCTTAATCGTAGAATCGTCATTGTGACGACAACGAGAACTCTTCTTCTCTTTAATTTATCCCTCCAGGTGTCTATATAATTCACCCGTTTCCTTATTGTGCTGGTATGTGATTTGAGTAGTTTATTCCAATAGAAATTTTGGGAGAGAAAGAGACAGGGCGGAAATATCGTTGTGCAGAGGCACATCGAACAAGCACGGGGCTACCCTATTGAATAATAGTCATGATAAAGTTAACAATTTGAAACAAAATATATATACGAGGTAAATAATAGTAATACAGTGGTAGCAGCAATAGAAAGAATAATATAAAATCGCTCCAAAACAAGACTGAGAAAAAGGAACATTGTGCATATGAATAAGCAATGTGATTCTTTTTCAAAGTCAAATTATTTCTGCCATTTCGGATTAGCTGTTTAGAATTGCAAGTAAAACCTTATTGAAATCTGTAGTTATACATTGAACTGTTATTGTTTAAGGCAGCCCAAGCATGCCACAATGGATGATTCTTTCACATTGCGGTTCTAGCAGTTGTATCACAGATTGCAGCTCCAAAGGGGTGAGTATTCACTCACCTCAACTACGTATTAATAGGTCAACAAAAAAACAGCGATTTGTGCGTTGAAGGGCCCCTACGTTATTTGCTATGTGCAGACTCGTGTGTACATTTAAGCCACCATTTCGATTTCTTTCTCTTCATTATTATCCCCTTTATTTATTTCTAGAATTGTGTGCAAGTGTTATGCATTTTGTCTTGGACTGTTGTCTAGTAGAGAATCTGTATTGTAAGATTATTCTGTTTGTTCAAATATAAGTAATGATTAAGAAATTGAGTATAAGGTAATATATACTTAACACACAGAGAATATTGTACTAAGTACAGTTTTAAATAACATAAAGGACATGATTTTTGTCGATCTGCATATACAAGCTTAAGTTCAGTACATATAGTATGAATACAAATTTGACCATAGACAAATTAAATTGTTATCCTGGGAGGGTATATTAATTTGAGAATTTGTGCAAATTTAAAAAATAACAGTGTTATATGCTTCGATGTCATATTATAAGTACGTTGGTACTGAATCAGTCAGAGAACAGACTTTTAGTCCTGTGATAACAAATTGGATGTTTATAGAGTTTTATAAATCATGTAAAGTATTTACAGATCCTAAATTTACAGATCCAGTATTTATACATCCCAAATATGAATTATTTATGTACTGATTGAATGCATTATCTATATTTCATCCTTGATAGTTTTAGAGGATTTTGTAAAGCCCTTGGAGCTGAGAAGTTCATTGCACTCCTCACGATTCAATTGTGATAGCTGTAGCCTTTCCACTTCTTCCTCATTTTCATTTAGAAGTATAAGTTCTGGAATTGCTCCAGGTATAGGCTTGAATTCTATATTTTCACTGTACCACATATTAAGGACATATTTGTTACAAACACTATTTTTTTAAACATGATATTAATTCCACTTGTGTTACATAAAGAAAATAGAAAAGTATATCGTTTTCAAATAAAAACACATACAAGTTATAAATATTCTGCTATACTTTCCGAAAATTGTATAAGCGTTAAAAAAATTAATTATTTTCCGCGTACATATAAAAAGGTATTTTAAAACATTATTTTTAGTACAAATAAGTACACAAAAGGATACTACAGAGGCAGATCCTCGAAGACAAATTTTTTGACTTCAGGAAGCCGATTTAAGCTGCAACCTCTACAACTCTGGAAGGATAGATTGATAAATGCAGTAGACAAAACTTCAATTACCAATATTACAAATAGATATTTAAAATAATAGGAGAATATTGCTTACTTCGACTCTTGCAAATGCATATTTGCTGCTTTCTGTATTTCCCAAAGAAATTGCAGCGAAAAGGACGAGCGCGAAAACTACAATATTGGAAGGTGCCATATTTACCTTTTTACTAGCGGAAGTCACCACCTACCATAAGCAAAAATCCTACTTATTTGAACAAGTGTATAATTTTTGACGTACATCTAAGAATTTGTTAGTCAGCCACGTACACATTTGAATAGAATTATTTGTTGACCTTTGTTAATAAGAATCAGCTCTTAACTTCAACCTAACAATAAAAATATCCCAGTATTTCAGTCAAATGCAGTACTTTAATCACGTATGTATGTATGTACTCTCCGCTTGCTCCAACTCGCCGAGTCCTGCGCGACGAATTTGCGCGCATACATTTTTGGGCAACGTCCACTACTTCTAAATATACGTGGTCAGAATTTCCAATCTCTAAGTGTTAATATTTTACTTTATTCATTTCATTCATTATTTTAATGTTCCAAACACCTATTTTATTAATATTTCAATTTTAACGTACTTATTTTCGATAATCTACAATTTCAATTCAATTTTTATCTACTTCATATATTCTGCGAGATTTTGATTTAACTTCAATTTTATATTTTGAATAAATTTTGAAAGTAAATCAAGATCCAATAATATTTAGTAAAAATTGAGGTGCTACGCGGGTATCAAGTTGGCATTTTCTTAAAAATGTCTTAAAAATATTTCAACAATAGGCTTTTTCAATAGTTCTTGAGAAGTTCTATAGTTCGCGGTCTCGTTCTAAGGGTTGCTTTAGGAACCAGCGGTGAGTAGCGGAAAATCTCTGCCCTCCAAGCTATACGTTCGTATTCACGTTTAGCTCGGCTATGACGGGATATACATTAAAGACGGAGGCAATGATCACAAAATCCTACTCCTGGAATCGCCGCTACGCTTTAGCGCTATGTTTTTGGTATCGCCTAAAACCATAGCGTTGTGCATCTCCCTAATCATCTCTGCGCCGACGCACTATTCGATTAGGCTGCGTTCCCATGTTAGCACGCGAGACGCCCGTCGTTCCATACAAATAATTTAAGAATCTAGATTTCTCATTCGTTTGTTCCATTGAGAATTCGGTAATCCGATAATCAGCTATTATTGAGCTTACGATTTAAATTATTTGTTGCATTTACAAAGAACTTGTGAATACAGCTTTACAACTCAGCGTCATGTATGGCGCTGCCACGTGCGTACCGGTGTGAACTAAAACGTCACGTCAAGCTGATGCGCCTTTTTCTATCCTGCAGTCGGCACCCTAGTCGAGCGTGGTTGAGCGCTATTTCACGTTATTTGCTGATGTACGTTGGGTTTAGTGCTTGCGGTATACCGTGAAAATGGCTCTTTCTTGTGCAAGTAAGATTTAATTATGTATAAAAGTAATTATTATTAATATTGAAGAAATGATGGTAGAAAGATTGTCGCAGTAGTTTTTCGAAGTATATGTGTACTATTGAAATATAGAAAAAATTGAAATATAGTTATGCCGGTTTAGTATGAATGTTTGCACGCGTTCTAACCGTCATTAAAACAAACTAAATGAATTTATTCCAGTTTCTAACGAGGTTCCGGAGCATCCAGTAATTTCGCCTGTGTCTGGATCGATATTCGAAAGGCGCCTCATCGAGAAATTCTTAACGGAAAATGGAGTGGATCCTATTAATGGAAAGGAGCTCACTGTGGAACAGCTTATCGATGTCAAAAGTATGTATTGGAGTTTAAATTAAATATGTTGAATATTCTATGTCAACTTTATCTGTATTATTGATTAAATATTATTGTATCTGTGGTTTAGCTACTCCGATAGTGAAGCCAAAACCACCAAGTGCAACATCAATTCCTGCTATATTAAAAATTTTACAAGATGAATGGGATGCCGTTATGTTACATTCATTCACACAGAGGCAACAACTGCAAACAGCACGACAAGAATTATCGCATGCTCTGTATCAACATGATGCCGCATGCCGTGTAATAGCTAGATTGACGAAAGAAGTCACTGCTGCCAGAGAAGCTTTAGCTACTCTTAAACCACAAGCTGGAATTACCCAACCAACAACCATTCCTCAACCTGTAAGCATATTAAATAATGGCATGTCACATAATGAAGAACGAGATCATTAAACATTACATCTTCTAGGCAGTGGCAATGGAAGCTGGTGGTGCAGCTGCACAGCCTACAGAACAGGCTGGTATTACTGATGATGTAATCAAAAAATTGCAAGAAAGGGCCACAGTTCTTACTCAAGAAAGAAAACGACGTGGACGCTCAGTCCCAGAGGATTTAATGGCACCAGACAATATCCGAGCTTTCCAAACATTATCTTCACATCCTGTAAGATTTATTGGTCATCTAGAAATTCATTCGCTCCGCATTGATCACAACTAATGTATTTTTCTTTAGGGTCTTCACTCTGCTAGTGTACCTGGTATCCTGGCACTAGACATACATGGATCTGATACCAGTAAGATTTTGACTGGAGGCGCTGATAAGAATGCTACAGTTTTTAATAAGGATACGGAACAGGTAGTAGCCATACTCAAGGGTCATACAAAGAAGGTAGATATTTCTTATTCACATGTTCTATATATCTGTGAGTATTTTATATTGTCTATATCTTCGATATATATGACATTCTTTCGATCAGGTCACACGAGTCATTTATCATCCTGATGAAGATCTTGTAATGACAGCATCGCCAGATACAACTATACGAGTATGGAATGTGGGTACAAGCCAAACAACACTTTTATTACGTGCTCATGATGCTCCAGTAACTGGATTATCACTTCATCCAACTGGTGATTATCTATTAAGCTCATCACTAGATCAACACTGGGCCTTTTCTGATATTCGAACTGGAAGATTATTGACAAAGGTGATACTTCTTTGACAAAAAAATATACAGGGTGTCCCAAAATGACCTGTCCAACGGGGTATGGCGGTGTTCGGGAGGCACCACTGATCACGAAAATGACCTTTCTTTTGTCCAGAAGTTCATAATTTTAAATGGGAGCAGGTCAAACTTGACCAATCAGAGCGAGGCGTCAAGAGGAACGTAGGAACCTACGAACTCTGAATTTTCTTCCTTCGCTTTTGTTTCTCAGTAGCTTGTTTCTTGTTTCCCTCGGCTGACGTCGTCTTGCCCGAAGCCATCGAGAAACAAAAGTGAGGGAACAAAACTCAGAGTTCGCAGGTGCCTACGTTTCTCTTGACGTCTTCCTCTGATTGGTCAACTTTGACCTGCTCCCATTTAAAAACTATGACCTTCCGGACAAAAGGAAGATCATTTTCGTGATCAGCGGTGCCTCCCGAACACCACCATACCCCGTTGGTCAGGTAATTTTGGGACACCCTGTATAAGCTTTGTGTGTTATATACTGATTTTTTGGTCTTATTTCTGTGTAGGTTGCTGGACAAGGAGCTCAACCATTGACTACAGCTCAGTTCCACCCTGACGGTTTAATTTTCGGCACTGGAACAGCTGATTCACAAGTGAAAATTTGGGATTTGAAAGAACAATCGAACGTGGCAAACTTCCCTGGACACTCAGGTCCTATTACAGCTATCAGTTTCTCCGAAAATGGTTACTATTTAGCCACCGCTGCTGAGGATTCATGCGTAAAGCTTTGGGATTTGCGTAAACTGAAGAACTTCAAGACCCTACAACTGGATGAGTCCTATGAAGTCAAGGATATTTGCTTCGATCAGAGTGGAACATATCTAGCAGTGGCTGGCTCTGACGTCAGGTGAGCTATTTAGAACGATATCAGTAACATTGTCGTATGTTGTCTACCTCAAATTTCGTGATTTTTCGCGTACCTCTATTAAATTAGGCGTCTCCAAAGGCCAATCAGCCTTAAACTTAATTTACTATTTTTTGCTAGTTTTGTGCTTGCAATTCTAGACTTAAAAATTGAATCTTGTTTAACAAAGCATGTGTTAGTCTAAATACAGGCCATTTCTGTTATACGAAAAATGGTAAACCTCATTATCGAGATAAACCGTTCACGACACATTGACACAATATCTTTGATTTTACCTGTTATTTATAAACAGAAACTATACAATGTATATATTTCTTTATCCTTGTAGGGTATATCTTTGTAAGCAATGGCAGGAGCTCAAGGTTCTAAATGATCATACTGCAACAGCAACTGGCGTTCGCTTTGGGAAGCATGCTCAGTATATTGCTTCGACAAGTATGGATAGAACACTGAAGCTATACGGTCTCCCATGAAGTGGTAGAATAATTAATATACTGTAATGAAATTATGTTGAGTGATTTGAACATAAGCTGTAAGATTAGTCAATAATAAATATTTTGTACAACATAAGTAAACTTTTTCCACTTCCTTCACTGAACATCCCCCTAAACTAAAAATTAAAAGTGGCGGCGCCACTTGTCACAAGATTCCCGACCTAGCTTAACATTCTTTGTCCCGGATAGCGAGGTGCTCCAATCGAATTAACAAGAATGGCTGCCAGAGTTGGCTGTCAGAGCGAGAAGTCCGCGGGTTTTATTTGACAGTAAGCATCTCATGCCGAATGGCAGTGACTGTGTTATAGATGCAGTGTTTGTTCTTGAATCGAGTCAATGATTGTATAAATTATTAGGATGATTCTGTGACTGGAAAAGGCATCGTCGGAGTACCTGGAACCTGACACTGATGACCAGCTGACAATGTTTTGTAATTAGCGTACTCTGATATTTAGTTGGGACTTCACGTCAAAACAAGAATGTTTCGGACTGAGGAGTCCTCAAAAGGTAGTTTCCTTCAGCAAACGAAGGCCGCGAGAGAGGAAAGAGCAAATGAGAAACGCAAGGAAGCTGCAGCCACTTGTATTCAAGCTGCTGTTAGAGGATGGCTAACAAGAATCAAGATCCCCACTAAGATTCTGTGAGTCTTTGGTCACCACTCTATATATTTTTCTATACTTTTTCAGATTAAACATCTTGTCTATTACATATTCAATTTCCTGCATTTTCAAAGTACAGATTATCAAAAAGAATAATCTCTTTGTTTCTTGATTAACATTTAATGCCAAATTTGTTTATGTACAGGAGCTGTCTGCTAATAGTAAAATCTGTTTTTTACAAGTGTATATTAAATTTCTGATGTATCATGCTCATTCTATTTACCCATTGTTGTAATACTTCATGACTTTTTAAAATTGATCTATTATGAAAGAAGTTATAGCAGCACATATTAATATCCTAAAAGCTAGGCACTGATTAAATATATGTATAATTCATGTTCTATCTATGTAGTATATTATATAAAATTCAAGCGAAATGCCTAATTTCACTAATTAGGTTTAATTGTAGGGAGCACACTGCCATGTTATTCGAAGATGTATATAGTTTCAAGTAGATATATTTTTTTGTCATAAGCCATGACATTCATTTTTCTACAACATATTACATTAAATATAAAATGCTGTTGATAAGTATTAAATGCTGCATAATTTTTTCTTTCAATCTTAGTGCCAAAGCCCCATTTCATTTATGGAATGAAAAAAAAACAATATCAAGAGTATATCAATTGTCAATGTGCGCGGTAAATATTAATCAGTGCGATAAGATATTTTTAATTTACAATCCTTTCAGAGCTAATGCATATCTAATACCTATTGATTAACCATTAGCAATTTCCATTGCCCACACTATAGGTACATGCCAAGCACAGTGCATGTACTAAGTATACTATATGTACTATATTCAGTCTATTGTTTCCCACTGAATTATACATAAGGAAAAAGTAAACAAGATAACCTTGTGCGTGATAAACCAAAAAATAACTTTATGATTACGAGGGTCAACTGCTTAATGCGTATATTCTTACTTTTTAGGGAAGAATTCGATTCGACATTTTCCGACGAGACCAATAATGAAGAAACAACCAAATTGAAGTCTGCACTTCAGATCTACAAGACCACCTCCAGATTTTTAATCATTTATAAAAGAGATAGAGATCAGGCGCGTATTGAGAAATTATGCAGGTAATCAAGTGCATTTTGCGTACAATGGAAAATGAATATTGCCTGTCTAGACGCTCCATGAACAAGTCGCTTTATCGCATAATGATGTCATGAATTAAGCAATTTGCACCATGTGTATGTTATTCACGTTATTGCAGATATCTTGTGAAAAGTTTAAACTCGGAGTCGCCAACATATTCGTATGTAGGAGTAGCATTGAACAAAGATTATTCAATATCATGGATAGCACAGATGAAAATAGTTCTACATCATTGTCTCACTGGATTAGAAAATCTCAAGCCAGAAAGGCCATCGGATCACAAATCAGTTCTACTGAGACTACACACATTGGTCAGTTTTACCTCAGCTGGTACCTGGGCCATTCTCAGGGTGAAAGGGATGGAAAAACTTCGGCCTGGTATGAACCAACTATGTGCCAATATAATGGGACATCTAGTCAACAATGGGTTTTACGCAGTAATGAAGGTACATGATTTGATCCTAGTGCAATTTCTAATATCATTTGCCAATGAAAATATTGTTTATTGAAGATAAACCATTCTCTTCTGTTATAGGTTTTATTAGTGAAAGGACTTGGTAGAGCTGTAATAGCTTTAACACCGGTAGCACTATCAGCCGCAGTAACATTATCACTGAGACCACTGGTTTCATCACAAATGTCTGACAAACTGGTGTCTCTTTTTTTGATAAATATTTTCAGCGTACCTGCCCTTGTTCATCACTTGCACATTGTATCACCAGAGGTACTTCTAAGACTGAACCAATCGATATCTTAATAATTGTTGGTACTAGCATAGTTTTTTTTTACAGTGTATATCATCGTTTACCACGCACAGCCTTTATGCAAGGAGTCTGGAATTACTAAATTCTGAACAAAATTTGAGAATAGTTTTTAATGCGCTAGAAGGGAGCTATGCTCTTTGCTTATTGGCTAATCTCATTCAGTTAGCTAATATTGAGAAGGATGAAGTCTTACGAGATCTTTACTTCCCTTCATTTACGGTAACGTTGTACAGCACTTAATACCTAAAAACTTGCTTTTGTGGCAAATATCCATTATAATCATATTCTTGTGTATAGTTCGTCGTTACAAGAATGCTAGAAGCCTGCCAGCAATACGTGGTCGCTAAGAAAAGTAATTTAACCCATTGGCATCCAGTTCTTGGCTGTTTGGCACAAACTGTCGATACGAACCTCCAGGAAGCCATCCCATTCGTGATGTCGCAGCTTGCCTGTCTCTGGACGGGAAAGATCGTTTCCCAGTTAATTGGTTAGTTTATGGACCTGGATGCAACCATAGTATCCTACATTGATTAGATATTATAATTTAGTATTCCATTGAATTAGGTCAACCGTTGAGAGAACTAGTGGAGAAGGAAACGCCGCAACAACCTGAACAGCAGAGCACTTCTGTTGGAGCTAATATATTCAGACGCGCATTTTTAGAAGCTCGCACAAATAGAAATAATAGCAACAAAAATTATCGCAAACTAGGAAGTCCCGAGACTACTAGGATTGCAATGATATGTTCACTTTATCAGACCGCCCTGCACACCCTAACTCAAATGAAGTTAGATATACTGACTGGTAAATTATATCGTATAATATGAAAATTATTAATAATAAAGATAACTAATTGAATGTATTTAATAGGTTTGTGCTATCAAGAAAAAATATTGTATCACATGTGGCTATTTCTATGCACCTTGGGTCCACATTGCGGCTTAAAAGCATTTCTGGATCATCTGGCAGCAAATACTAAGTGTACAGCGCCAGAGTTTCAGATGTTGATACTTTTCTGTGACTGCATGACGCACTATGTTACGTAAGCATACATTAAAATAGTCTTTAGGTGTCCGAAAAATGTGGTAAATATTGTCACTTTCAGTATTTTGGATGATATCGAGATGTACGAGCAACAAGATCCCTTCAAGCTAACTGACTTCATCACGATGTCTTATTTTTTAAATCAATTTCTGTATAAAGCTGTTCTAAACAATTTATTTGGTGAGTGCATACAATTCATATGATAACAGACCAGCCAAAAATTCACTATTGACATTCCTCTTCCCTTCTATAAAAACTTTCCCTAAGTTTCCATTTTGATTCTTCGCAAGACCCTGGACATCTAGTTACGTACTGAAGTTTTAGATGTTACAGACGTCAAAACTATATCGAGCAATCCTCTTTTCACGTCGCTTCATACGCTCCTCATGGCTATTTATCGTCGTGACTGTAGACGAACTTTCTGTCCGGATGGTCACTGGTTGGCTAAGTTAAGTATTTGATACTTGTACGGGTACAGAATATAGCATGGTCTGTATCTTGATGGAATTGTTTCTTATATTTAAACAGGAGGTGCGCGTTTCCGGTTTTCTAACTGACCTTGAAAAAGGAAGACGAGGTGCTGCTCTGCTCCTTTCAATAATGCCCCACGTGATTCCTCATTCAGAACGAGTTGTCTTATTCAGAAAACATGTAGCTGATGAGAAGGCAGTGATGGGTCTTACTGAAAGTGCCTGTAACAGTCCACCATCGACCCTTATCACAATTCATAGGTAAACATTCGATTCCTTTTTATTAATTTAATATACATTAACTCTGAATGAAAAAAGAAAATAAAAAATGTTACTGTAGGTCAAGAATCGTGGAGGATGGATATCGACAACTGGCAATGCTACCGTCGCAAGCTTTGAAAGGAGTAATAAGAGTTAGATTCGTAAACGAGCAAGGCTTGGACGAAGCGGGTATCGACCAGGATGGCGTTTTCAAGGAGTTTCTTGAGGAAACAATTAAGAGGGTCTTTGATCCGTCCTTGAATCTATTCAAAGCTACCAGTGAGAATAGACTCTATCCCTCACCAACATCATCCATGCAAGATAATCATCTACAGCTCTTTGAATTTGTGGGTCGCATGCTGGGCAAAGCGGTATACGAAGTAAGTATAATATAAAGAAAATGTCTATCAAAGTCTACCAAATTCATCCCAATTTTACATTTTTAGGGAATAGTCGTGGATGTACCCTTCGCTTCGTTCTTCGTATCTCAATTTTCCGGACGAGCAGGTGGTGCAAACTATAGCTGGTTGGATGAACTCGCATCCCTGGACAGAGATTTGTACCGCAGTCTGACTCTTGTAAAACATTTTAAAGGGGACGTAAGACAGTTGGAATTGACATTCTCATTAGATGATGATGTTCTTGGAAAGTTGGTCACTCATGAACTCATCCTTGGTGGAAGAGTGATACCAGTTACTAATCAGACTAAAATAAATTATATTCATCTCATGGCACACTTTAGAATGCACATGCAGATCAAGGATCAAACAGCGGCTTTCATTAAAGGCTTCAGGTCTATTATAAATCCGGATTGGCTGTCGTTGTTCTCTACACCTGAGGTAAGAAGCATATAGAAACCTACTTGAATAGCATAATTAGAATTTAATAAGAAACTTCTAATTGAATTAAATAATATAGTTGCAGAGACTCATTTCCGGCGATAATGTTCCTCTGGATTTGAAAGATCTCAGAAGACACACGCAATACTACGGTGGCTTTCACGATAGCCATCGCGTAGTCTGCTGGCTCTGGGACATATTAGAGAAAGATTTCACTGAGGACGAGCGAGGTTTATTTCTTAAGGTAGACAGTCTTTATTACCTTATTTTGTTCCTCATTGAAATTCTGGCTATTTTTTTTATCCGTTCAAATTTATTCAGTTCGTTACGAGTTGCTCGAAATCACCTTTGTTGGGATTCGCGCACCTGGAGCCACCATTTTCGATCAGATGCGTAGAGGTCGGCGACGACGAAGACACGGGCGATACAATTGGTAAAAATATAAATAAATATCGATTCCATTAATCTGGATAGTCTTTTTATAACTTTCATACTCAAAATTCGTTTCACTAACAGGCAGTGTAATCAGAGGTTTTTTCACAATTCGAAAAAAGGATCCCCAGAATAGATTACCAACGTCATCGACTTGCTTCAATCTACTGAAGCTACCGAATTACCAGAAGAAGAGTACGCTACGCGAGAAGTTACGTTACGCAGTTACAAGCAATACTGGCTTTGAGCTCTCCTAATTAATTTCCACAATTGATATGGCACAAGTACGAGCAGGAGCGATTGATCAGGCCAACTGCAATTATCGTGTATGCTACTCTTGGATAGTTTCTATAAATACTCTAGGATGTATAACAAGGTACTTGTTATGATTCCTAGTGTCAGTGAGAGTGCAAAATGTTTCGGGAAGTGTACACTAATTAACTAACTCCTAGAAACAACACTTTGATATGTTTTCATGGAATAATTCGACAGTAAGAATCCCACCGTGACTAGTGCGTATTACTTGGAATACTTTAGCAACAGTGGTAAACGATTAATACTACTGTAATTAGTCGATCTAATCGATCCTCATCGATTTTTATTATTGCGAATCGAGAGGATATTTCTATCAAAGTTAATTAATACTTCTTCAATCTTCCTAACTGCCTGAATCTATTCATCAATTTGAAAAATTTCTATCACTCAGCTTACGACGGATCCGTTTCTCGTGCTGTGGATTCGAACGTGTGATTTCGAGCTTAATTAAAGAACAAGAAAAAAAAATGGAATTATCGTACGCTTGTTACATATAAGACACGTAGATTAATTATAAATAAGCGACCAGTGTAAAAAAAACCCTAATATACTTATTAAATCAAAAAACCGTAAGTAGCATCGTTTGAAACTGAAATTTAAAAAATTGTTTAAACAATCATTTTAAACAAGGGTAACGCAGTACGCACCGATTACAGTGAATCAAATTGCCTATATTTTTTAAGCATTGTGAATTCAACCGACCAGCAAAAGATTCCTGAATGAATCAATAATAATATATGTGAAACACGTGCGTTACTCGTTAGTACTCGCGTGTCTGACGTTAAAATGTAGTTGAACGCAAACGATGTTACGGATAAAAGTTGGCACTTTATTTTCTGCTACAGTATGATGGTACCCGTCACGTTATAATGCCGTGCGAGAAAAATCGGTCAGACCAAAGATATGAGGCTGCACCTAGGATATCGTGCGTGGACAAGGAGAAAGCAGCTGAAAGAGAAAAAAAGAGAGCTAATAATTAATCGATGAAGTAACTCGTAGAAAATAAAGAAGTTACTCTTAATATTTTCCTACCGACAAACGTCCGGCATTTCAGGCTCGTGCGAATGTTTGCTTCGAAGAGACACGCTTTTCTCGTGTCGCGTTTTACACATAAGTATATACCTATGGCACACGTAAGAAATGTACTGTTATGTAAAAATAATACAATCGCGTCGAAACAATGCATGTAAAAAAAAAAAGAAGCTGGCTGAGCGACAATTGCGGGAGATAATTAAGTAGCCGATTAAAACCATGTTTAGCAGATCGATTATTGTTTCGATATTTGTTTTCTATTCATTACCACTTACAATTTTTTAACGTTAAGTAAACGTGCTTATAAGCGAATGAGAAACTCGATATGATACGACTATCAAACCCTTCCAGAATCTTTCGACTAACGATGAGGGAAGTTAATTTATTAAGGAGTGAAAAAAAGGAAATGTCATTCTCGAAGCTCAAGCATGCTAATTAATGTATACTTCCCTCTTCTTCTTCCATGCTTGAGAATATTACGTTTCACTCGTTTGCTCATTTTCTCTCTCGTCTTTTTTCTCACGTCAATCCTATACGTAACACAGCTTTTTGGTCGTTATCTGATAAAACGTCGAGTATTACTATAGATAGTCCCATGTCTGACGTCACAAACAGCCTTCTGTGAGATCATTATTCAAGGGTTGCTCGAGCTTCTTTAACCACCATCGTGCGCTGCTTTAAACAATCTATCATATAAAAGCTTGAAGTAATTCAACAATAGAAATTTTGTACAAAAATTATGCCTATACCTATATCCTTTGTTTTCATTGCAGCTTTTCTCCTTGTATTACCTTTTGTCGTTGCATTGCGGTTAACAGTCTTCCCGCAATTGGCACGTATTTTGTATATACATATTTATACATTACACATAAAGGGAAAACAAACATACGCGGACCATCACGCTTTGTAAATTGCTCGCTTGTAATGAATTGTACCAGTGTTTTATAACTGTGTGTATATTGTTGAATACTGTGAACGAGGAGACAATTAATTAAATACGTTTAATTAAAAGGGATTAATAATAATCATGTAAATATTAAATACAGCCAGATCACATATTTATGCGCCTCTATTTACCCCCGACGTTATTTGCGCAACTGACCGCACTCCGTGCGTCGTGGCAATGACGGCAATGTATTCCCAGCTCAAGCGTTGAATCATTGAACTTTCATCTCCCTGTGAGTGTTCAAGTATTTGCGTCGTGCAATATAATAAATCTTTCACATTCTGCACAAAGGATACAGCGCAATAAGACGAAGAAACGTCAAGTACGAGAAACTACAGCAGGGCGTATGTATTATATCGAATGATGTCCTAGGTCTGTGAAATGAAAATAAGTAGCGTCAAGGAAAGTTGGTTAGTGTACGACAACCTCGGTACCGTTTCGAGGACAATGGACGGATCAGTTAATGGTCTCTGGATGTAAATTTATGCGGGTTATTTTCTACAGACAAAATATCACACTTCATTGTATGTTAGATACCCTTTTGTGAACAGTCGAATCGAGTACTTTGACCATGATAAAAATAAGTGGCGGTTTCCTTTGTTTGAACTACTGAGTCCGTTGGGCGATGATTCTTCAAAGGAAATGTCAAAATGGCCGTGCTTGGTAGATTTCACATTTTCAGGCGGGTTGCGAAGAGAAAAGGTTTGAGAAGGACTGTAAGGCATATTGAGGTAATAAAGCAGACATAGAGGCATCCACGCAGTGTATTCGTATCCAAAATGCGGCACATCGATTCGCCCGTGACGGCAGTCAAAGGGAGCGCGCTGCGCGTCGTTCTAATGCGCATTGGTTATTGGCGCAGGTCACGTGACTCGCCTTTGTGCAGCTGGCGCTGCCCGCGGTGCACTATTCAGGCAGTGGCCAGCAAGCCTTGGCTGCGTTACGACGTGCATCTCGTCCGTGAGCATCTCCACCCGCGTTACGCGAGACGAGCCTGACTTGCATTCGTGGCGGTTGGCTCTGGCCCCCGTAGAGACACAAAAAGCCCTGCCCTAAGGCCTCCGTAAGCGCTCTCACAATTCTTTTTCTTCGTTTTTGTCCCGTTAATTTGTGTTCGCGAGAACGCGCGCGTGTCGTGTCCCGTTCCTTACTAAGAGGACAGAGAACGTAGTGCTGGTTGAGGGAGGATATCGCGCGAGCTCAGCTGAGGGAGAGTGCATAGTGTGTGTGGTGCGTGCGTCAAACATAACCTAGACGAGGATCGGAAGGCGTCCTCCTCTCATTGGTAAATAAAGTGCTAATACGTGGGGATAACAGTGACTAGAAATTTGCCGAGAGCTTAGAGTACTCTCTGGTGGTAATATATAGTGTCGGTTGTGTATTGTGTCGCTTTATATATATTGCAAATGGGTCGAAGGTCTATCTGTGCTAGAAGCGGTTAGCCAAACGAGTGTGTATGTACAGCCTTATCCCTCACGACGCGCTACCAACTACTAATCCTACTCTTCCCTCTTTTCCTCACTACCATTTCCTCCTTCACGCTCTATCTCCATCGTTCTTTTCGCACGCTGTCATTCTCTCAGGCTGGCAACTTCCTTTTTTCTATCGTGAGCAAGTTCCTTGGCCAGAACCTCGAAGGTACGCGGCATTCTTGTCAGTGGCTCAAAAGCTCTCTACGTTTATGCGAAAGAAGTCTTGATAAGAAAATGTGATAACATTGGCTATATCACGGATTCGTACTAAACAATAATAAAGTCATCCTCGCTAAAATCGGATATTCTTCCTTTCCCAGGTTCAACGAATATTCTTCGCATCCCTTTGTGCACTGTGATTTAAATAAAAGAGCACAAGGTCGTTGATTGGCTGACTTGGAAAATAAGCAGACGTCATAACTCTTATCGTTAACGATAAGAAGAGGACCCTCAAGAAGAATAATAAGCCAGCGTCGTGATTTCTTAAGACCGTGGTCATAAACTACCCCGAGGACACCATCCCAAGAGGAATCCGAATGAGGTTATATCGAAATCCTGTCTAACCTATTCTCGCTGGATTCGTCTTTTCCTGATCCGCCCGTGGCTGTACTCACTGGTCACTTGTCTGAAGGTAAACAAAGGCGCGAACTACTCGTGAAAAGTAAAAGGATTAGCTGGAAGAGGGTAGTGAAAATACCTAGGGGATAGTCAAAGACACGTATAAAGGATTCAGGTATATTAAGAATTCCTGATTACCGTACGAAAAGTGAATCGACAAAGTTAAACCAGTGCAATAATCGTGAGAAAGTAAAGGAAGTGGCATTTGAGCCTCTAACGTTTTGAGTGTTTAAAGAGAAATTCGAGTGCGGGTGGTGAAGTTCCAAGAGGTTTCACTGAATGTGAGGAACAGGAATATCTAAAGCTGAAACCAAAGCCAGGAGAGACAAACTGGGACGAGAAGAAAAGAAAAGCATTAAAGGACTAAGGATATAAAGCGGACTGGTGAAGAAGAAGGTGGGTGCCAGTAAAAGACGAGGAGGAAGAGGGTGGCCGAACGTAGGGATACCTAGGAAGGATTTGATGGCAGTAGTGGGGCCCAGCCGGCACTCCCGGGTGTCCATGAGCGTGTCTATGTCTTTAATGCAGGGGGCCGGGGCTGGGGCAACCGGCGGCGGGTCTACGGGGGCCCATCCGGGCCAGGCGGTCCTGGCAGCGGCTGCTGCAGCCGCGGCCCAGGCACCACCTACGTATTATCATCCTGCAGCCCCAGCACCACCACCCCCACCACCACCTCAGGATCCTGTGCAGCCTGACAGACCCATCGGTTATGGAGCCTTTGGCGTTGTTTGGTAAGTCCTCTTACGTCTAGTATTTTTTTTTTTTTAATATTCAGGGCTGACCTTTGCCCGGTACCCTTTACGGTCATTGGATTCAACTAGACCTGGAATCCTTTGTGTATTTTACCTACCGCACCATGTTAATTATAAGCTTACCTTCAAAATTACCTGGAGTGCCAATAACGTTGGCCCTGTAAGACCCTGGGCTAGAGGTCTCTTTTCATGGGCCCGAAAAATCCCGTTAGTCCCAAAAATTAGTCCCAGAGAAACGGAATTTCTCTTCTTGGTACCGTGAAAAGGAATAAGGTGATTCGGCGCCCTTGAAAAAGCTATCCCTACGACACGATTAATGCTACAGGCTCATGGGGGTCCTTTGTAAGTTCGGACAGCCAGGATCCTGTGTCCTGACTGAATGTCTTCGATTTATCAATCAACGAATGAGTTTCGGGATATGAAAAAAAAGAAAAAAGAACCTGGACAAGAATGTCCCTTTACGGAACAGGATTTTCGTATATTGCATGTCGTCGGTTGGCCCAAATGAATTGTATATCTTCGTTTCCATACTTTCTTACTGTTTCAAGGAAAAAACGTTCATTTCCTACTTGGCGCCAAACCGTCCGGAAATTTCAGTACTGATACATACACTATATTAATGTTAAGGACGACCGTCTTATTACTCGTGTCTATTTTCGTAAATTGCTTCTGCCACAAGGATTCCTCGTCTAGGATTCCCGGATTCTTCGTCCTTTTACGCGGATATCGGATCTTACTCAGGACGTTGAAATAACTTCTTCAGCGACCGTCACATGAAATTGACGTTTCTAACTGAGAAAAGGTGTCCGACCTGTCATTCAGAATCGAAACGTTTTTCATCCCCTGTAAAAACATTTCTCGGCGAATAACAAATCTTCGAATTCTCAATATCGAACGATCAATCGACAATGAAATTTTCTAATGTAATTACCATTTCATTGAATCGTAAAATTTTCCATTTACCGAGCCAGCGATTTCGTACCTCGAGAAGGCCTAAATTTGAATTCCTCCTTTTCCCGCCACCGCGCCAAGAACAGTGACACCAAGCACGCCTACAGGAATCCTCTTCGTGACGTGCCAAAAAGCTGATTCCCCGGATATAGAGATAAAACGCAAATGCGACAGGCACGCGTGTCGCCTCGCGAAATAAAGAAGTCTGCGTCCCACGCGCGAGTTCAGTGCACCGCCATGTGTCCGTCTCCCCTGCTTTACATGCACGCCTATATATATACATCTGTTCTCTACCGCTCTTTCACATCCAATCCGAAGATTAATACGTCACGTCTACAACGTAAAGAGGGGGAACGTCACAGGGCGAGCCCTCTGGAGTATTCCGACGAAGGGACGAATCCTCGAGGATTTCCAACAATTCAAATCCTGCCGCACGAGGATGAGATCGGAGTGTAACTACCAAAGATGAAGACGATGGACCCACGCGAGATGCTGCGGATCGTTCTTGAAGATGAATTATAAATATTGACACTCTTTTAAACCCAATTATCGCCAGCACTCTCCGTACGCTTACTCGAGCGATACGCGACTAATTGCGCGCTCGTGAATACCTCGAGGGATCGGGTCGGACTGAAGAATTCTCTTTTGAAATTGCCAGAGTTTCTCTAGGCCGTTATACCCGCTGCCCCGAGAACCCGTTAAAGTGAAAATAGTCGAGGGAGCCTAGGATCGGCTCCCGGTGAGCCAGAGGTAGAAAATTCTCCCGCCGCTTGCGGGGAATGACGGTCGCCATGGCAACCGCTTAAAGATAAGGAGAGCCCAGTGCGTGTCCACGCGTCGAACTTCGGTTAGGTGTGCGTGACGTCATTCTTCCCCGACAAGGCACGTACACGCTGCTCTCTGCCCACGCGCGTTCACGCTGGATACCGAAATGTGAAAATTCGAATCGCGTTCAATCGTCATAACTGTAATCGACGGCTTTTGCCGTATGGTCGTTCGATCGCTCGACGCCTCAACTTACGTTATCGTTCCCAGGGCAAAACGCTCCTTATCCCATAGTCACTTCTTGGATTCTCCTTAATTCATCTGTTCCCCGCGAAAGCAACCCCTTGCAGTCACTTGGACCTTTTTTTTACCAATTATCTAGGGTTTACTCTCTATTGATCGCGCCTCCCTTAGACTACCCCCTTTCTGTTTCCTTAAGCAACGTTTCACGTTCACCGCGGTCTTCCTCGTCGTCCCTTGTTTCTTCAGCCCCGACAGAAGACACCATCCATCCCCTCCGTACGCGCGGGCCTACCAGTGAACGAAAATCGAACGTGCTCGCAAATTCCCTCGCCTCTCGGCGTTCCTGCTGATTTTAACGTAATCTTGCTGATAAATTATTAATAATTTTCTTTATTTGTCCCACGCTGCTCGCCCCTCCCCCCTCGCCCTCACATTTTCCCAAGATCCTCGCGTTTCCCTCTACGCCCTTTTTGTACGAGGAACCCTTTATTTTTCTTCTATCATAATATCTCTTCACCTTCTCCCGATCTCCAAATCCGTCCGATGCTCCTTGCTTCCCGTGGTTAAATCTCAGGAAAGAATAACGTTCCTCTTGGCAGTGATTCAAAAAGAGGTCGAAAAAAATAGTAACTCGTGGACCTTCGCCACGAGGGCTCCCGACTCCTTCGTCGGTCCAGATTGATCTTCGAGCCCAAGAAGGGACGGCTGCGCGTACCCGTAATAGCTACGCCACTCTCGATTCATAACCTCAAAGACGGTTTAACTGGCCGCTCACTCCGACTATTGCACTACTTGAAGATCCGCTTCTTAGCTCGATCCCTCCTTAACGCTCTAAAGCTCTCCGGGCTTCGAGACTCCCGCGAAAGCCAATGGCGTAGACGCTCAAGGAGAACGTCGTCGACGTGGTGTAAGGAACGAGTTTCGGTGTGACGAGCGCCTTAAGCAGAGGGAAAGGTAAAGGGCTGCTCAAGAAGAATACGGGAAGCGGGGATTAGGGAGTATTGTAAGGCTACGAATCCTGGATGAAATTTATTATTTACATTGTCCACTCTCGCTTTCCCGTAGACTTCACGTTGGCGCGCGTCTTGGGTTGGATTCGTATAGTCCCTGTCGCTTCTTGAAAAGCCGCCCCCGGCGCTGCCCCCGGCGCTGCCCTTCCGAGCGCTTCGACCGTCTCGTGAATTATCGTCATCGTAAACGGCTCTGCGCCAGATTGTGCGTGAGTGCGTTCTGCGCCTTCGCGTACGTACCTGGGGTACGTATCGTGCGTGCGTTTACATGCGAGCGATATACCACTCGAGTGCAAGGTCTCGGCATTGACTCGGCAAGGCGGCTCGGCACCCGGTAAATCCTGAGTAAAGGCAGCTCGCGCGTCGTTCCTCCCGGAGACACTGCTTCGCGTTAGCGTGGTCGGTGGTTCGTACGTCGTAGGTGCTGGCGCAAGCGTTCGTGCTCGCGGAGCTTTCGTGCTTGGACGAAACACGTGTATTGGATTTTCTTGTAATTCGGTGTAGTAATTAATGAGGATTGGAGGATCGTGATTTTTTTTCAAAAAAAAAAAAAAAAAAAAAAAAAAAATTTTTTTTGCAAAATTTGATTTGTTTCGTCGGGTTTTTTTTTTTATTATGAAGAGTGAAAAAAAATTTTTTTTTTTTTTTAAAAAAAAAAAAAAAAAAAAAAAAAAAAATTTTTTTTGCAAAATTTGATTTGTTTCGTCGGGTTTTTTTTTTTATTATGAAGAGTGAAAAAAAATTTTTTTTGGGGAATTTTTGTCAAAACCGGTCAGCCGACTCGTCAGGTTGGTCAGGCATACGAGAGGAAGCTTTATTTTTATTTTCTACTGTAATATAAATACAGACCGTATACGGGCTGTTTTTATGAAATTGCGGCAATACTGTTTGCGCTTTGCCAACCGTCCGGTTTAACGGCAGTTAATACCGCCGCTAATGAACGTACCGCGAATTCACTGACGAGATATAATTATAGGGATACTTTTTGCCGTTGGGTTATGCATATTTTTTTTGCTCGTGGTCGCACTGGCGCTTAATCTTTAGAGGTATCGGAGATAATTTCGTTTCAACTCGTTCGATTAATTCTCGTTACGTAATCGCTCTCGCGTCTCTATCAATTCTTCTCGACTAATGACTCCTTTTTTTTTTTTTTCCCAAGATTCGCCAACTCTCGCTCTCGCTACACGTTGCGCAACTCCATGACGGACGTATTCCCAAAAACGGGATTTCCGCTCGGTGATTTCCGTTCTCGCGACTTTTAAATGCGCTCGGCCGTCGAGCCTCTCTCGGAACGTCTGTAATCGACAGAACGGCCATCGCCGTCTTTTCACGATGATCTACGTCTTCTCGCGTAACCGTTTTAAGGAATTTCGTAAACTTTTTTTCTTTTTTTGTTTTTTTTTACGTCATTTAAAATTTTTCTTCCCTCGTCCCGTGCGCTTCTCTTACGGTGCCACTCGGCGTAATACCGCATAATTATACGAGGCCCGAGCAAGACGAGCACGCGATAAATAAAGCACAGAGCGCCAGCCACGTGCCAGTTCCTCCAATTATACCAGGGAGCCTTCTTAATATCCAGTCTCGTGTGTAGCGGGGCCCCTTAATTTCATCACGTTGCTCCGGCAGTCTGTCTGCCGAACGCTATAGGGTGGTTCAGAAACGAAGCTGAACAGCTGGCAGGCAGGTGACGTTGCAGCTGCCGTCGATGGAGATGGCAAGTACCCTGCTCCCAAATCGATCGGACTCCTGGACCAGTCCCCCGTACGCATATACGTCCTACTCCGTGTAGCCCCTCTCTGTGTATTTCATGCGGGGCCTTATACACGATATATCTTTTACACACGTATAATTCAGTCCCACGTTTTTCTACGGTACAGGTAATATATACTTTATTCCTCAAGTGTATATATATATATATATATATATATATACTATATATTGCTAATGTCAGGAAAACCCCATACGGTCTCCAGCCACCTCCGGTACTCACTTTCATACCTTATCCGAATG